ATTTCTTCAGATTATGCATGTATTGAAGTAGATACTCCTTTATCATAGTAATTGATAACATGAAAGAATATTCTATAGATCATGAAATACGGAAATGAAAATTTAATATATTTAAAAGCTAGGCTTGTTGCGTAAATGTAGACCAATTATATACTAATATTTCCGTACAACACAATTATTGCATGACCAAAAACGAGAACAATCATAGACTTGTTTTCAGAATACACCTGAATACTGTTTAAAATGTTGATGTTCATATTTCTTTACATTATAAATATACTGAAATGTTTTGAGTTATAAAAATGATGCTAAGAAGTATCATTTTCCAGTTTGTACAGAATGTACAGCAAGATAATCTGCTGAGATTACGATCGAAGTGTATTCGTATTTGATATATAAGATGGAGTTTAACACGATAATTGTCTCTTTAAAAAATGTATGCATTAAATTAGTAAACAGGTGTAATTGGTAGTAAAACTAAAACATAATACATAACGCGTGAGCAGTATATGGACATAAGATCATGATAATAATAAATGGCGAGATTGAGTGACCATGAGATATTTAAGAGTTTAAATCTTTCTTATTTTGTGTTCTTCTATCACTAATTCACCCCCTTGCTGTGCCGTTTACCATCTAGAGACAGGATTTATAGGTAGAGCTAAATTTATGAGATACTGTTCTTCAAATTGGCAACAATGATCTTTGAAAACAATATAAATGGGCGCAAATATTGCCGCTGGAAAAACAAATCCATATTTCGGTCGGAAAACAATAACATTGAATTTATAAACGTGTTGCAAACTTAAGGATTTTAATTCTCATTTTCATTTATATTTAATTCCTGGCATCAAATGCATTATATTCGTGAAACAAACAAAAATATAGATGCAATGTATGTAGGAAGTGGTGCCTTTCTACTCAGACATAAATGTGGCATATTTTTCTAAGACTCTAAATCAGAAGTTATTGAGCCAAACCTCAGTGTGTGGAATGATTGCCAAGATAGGGTTAAGACCAAATAGTTTGTAGGATGAATATGCGAAGAAGATATAGATTCAGGACGTCTAACGAAACAAATGTGTGGTCAAACTAAGAAAAGATATGAGCAAGACAAACATAGAGAAACACTGGTTCAGAGACAGAAAGGAATGGAACAAATAAGGAAACATAAGGGGTAGGCACAGGTAGAGAGAGAGATAGAGAGAGAGGGGGGGGGACTGAAGACGGAGAAGGCGACACGAAAAAGAGAAAGAGGAAGTAGTGGAAGAGAGAAAGAGAGAGAGAAAGAAAGAGAAAGAGAGAGAGAGAGAGAAAGAGAGGGAGAGAGAGAGAAAGAAGAATCTAGTGAAGTATGGAATTCGATACAATAAATATTCAATTACAATAAAACCAGTGCAGACGGCAATACACAGGGATAATTTGTGATATTTTAACTCGCTTCAAAATAAATTTAGACATGACAGATTAGACAAATTGCTTAATTACTTTGAGGACTGCACTTCATTTTGCAATGTCAGTTTAGTCAGTTTCAAACAAATAATTTCGAATATACTCTATTATTGATTAACCTGGATCTCCAACTGAAGAAAGATGACAAACATTTAGGAAATCTACTTGTCACAATTACAGTTACAGAGCTCGGGGCATATCCACACAGCCTTCTTGAAATGATATCTACCAGCACCGCTTACAGTTGACCTCTTATAGTTGAACTTTACCAATTCACTGCATGCTTTGGAAGCTGCAGGCAGTGTACTCCAGACTGGAATTCAGCATTCACTGTCCTTATCTAATGTCCAGCCCCATGCTTCTGGACTTGGTTGATTCTGCTCACTTTGATGGCTAGTGGTCCAGATGCTGGCCTGAAACACAGCCCGCTTCAAGTGTTGCAGTAAGGCATGTTGGGTCGGAGGGATTTTGCCCTGGTTTTGTGACAGAATATGTCCTTGCGGCACTGTTCACATAAGTCAACTGGCTTGTTTTGTCATAGAGAACAACGGTGAAATGTTCAATCAGTTTGAATATGTCTTTTTTAAAGTCCAACTGAGTGAAGGGATGTTGTGCCAAGTATGCGAATGCCTCTGTTACTTCAGGAAAATATTCCCGGGCTCGCCATGCTAGTCGTTTGCCTTTGTTGTAGAATGCAGATACTGTATCACATCCTTTGAAGCTGTGGAACATGGGTAAAGCCAACGATCTGTCCTTTCCTAGAGCATGGAATATTGCATTGATGTGGTACTGCAGGAGTAAAGCTTTTTCAAGTGCCAAAAGCTACCCATACATCTGTGGTAGGACATACAGACATTAGATGATGGAATGGTCATAAGAGATTAATGACAACATCATTCTCAACAGTCAGGACCAATCATGTCGTTGAGCTGTTCTCCAACGCATCTTTCAGGTGAATAAGTCTTCTGATATTCGCTTTCTCGTGATTGAATGTAATAGGCAAAGTAAGATATGTTCCCCTTGAAAGAACTCTGGCGCCAGAAGTTATGAAGACCTCTTTATCAGGCGGACAATCTGTGGCGGCTACTATATCTGAAAGAAATTCAAATAATGCTTTCCTATGTGTGGGATCTCTGAGAAATTTGCCAGTTTACTGGGATCTGTGTTTGAGCAGAGACTCTACTTCTTGTCCCTTTACCTCGAATTTCCAAGGTAGACCCTTACATGCTCCTTGGAAGATAAATGTCCCAAACTCGTTTGCTGTCTTCCAAAAGCTTCCTGATGTGTGAAACAAACACATGGTCAGCATATTCAGTGAATATTTTTACATTGACCGTACATTTTTCCGTATTATATCTGAACGAACCTTAAGAGCATGTAAAGAGATCTCCATTATAGTTCACATTATTATTTATTTTTTAAATTAAATGTTTTATTTCTCCGAACAGAAGTAGTACAAATCAAAATAAAGTTAGTACAAATCCTATCATTCATATGTTAAATGACTTAAATCAACAAGTTTTACAAAAATCCTTTTCTTGTTTACAGCCACAATAATATTTAAAAAACAATTTTTAAAAGTAATATACCTACGTAGGCTTTTTAATACAAATTTGCTATTAATAAACGATGTTTTATAAACGAAATAATACATTTAAACTAAAACATAGTAGTAGCCCTGAAAAAAGAGAACTGAAGAAAAACTCGTTGAAAGAAATAACAAAGAAGCAAAAGAATCAAAACAGAAGACACCCGTCCTTTCCAGTCCGCATTCTATACATACATATATAGTCTTTAGGCAATAATCTCAAACACCCTACTCCTCTTCCCAATCCGTTATAAAGGCATGTGCGAATGATAATGATAATACTACAACATTAATGATTACAATAACAAGTTATTAATGCTACTACTCATACAAATTATAAAAAATTATATTAATAATGATAATAACAACACCGATATCATAATGATATCAATAACGATAACGATAATAATAATAATAATGATAGTAATAATAATGATCTCAATCATAGGAAAAAAACAGTGTTTAATTTTCCAAAAAAATATTCTAATTTCGGGGAAAAAATACAACAGTGCATTGTTCTTTTTTAATTTTCTTTCCGCATCTTTACTTTCCATTATTTATTTTTGTTTGTCTTATAAAATAAAAAGATTTACAAACTTTACAAGTGATACCTGGATTTTTTTAATGCAAACAGGAATTATGTTATGTAGTATAGGCAATTTAAAAATATTGCAGCAGTTTTTCCACCAACAAATGTTGGTTTCTATAATGGATTACAAAAACCAAAAATTAAATAAAAAATGTCCGATGACTAGTAATATCAAAGAAGGGAAAAGAGATGTGCAACGTTTACTTGGTGAGCTTTCTGTCCTCGCCTACAAACTCACTCAGACGTCACGTCACAGAGGTAAATTATTAGGGACTTTTAGATTGAGTGGACGAGAACACGACGAATGCCGACTGATCATACGTGTCAACGTAATCATTGACTACAATTAGAAATCTTTTAGATTGCACTCGACGATATACATGCATGCAGGAAGTAACACTATGAACATGACGGACATAGAAAGAGGATATGCAGTTCCTCATTCTACCCTCAACAATAGTCCATTTTCGTAATGTAACAAATTTAATTCATACGTCTTTGTGAAGTGGCTCAATACAAATTATTTCATTCACCTGATAAGGATAATAGTATTTCAATATACATAATCCAAACTGCATACATTAGTTGTTGTCAGGTTGGACAAGCATTATGGCTTGACCTACCTAGCAACACTTAATATATGCAGTTGCATTCTGACTATTGAAATACTATTATTCCTATCAGGTGAATGAAATAATTTGTATTGAGGCACTTCACAAACACTTATGCATTACATTTGGTTACATTACGAAAAAAGCCGATTGCTGTGGTAGAACATCTCTTCACTGCTATTATGTAAAAATGTGTAAAACAGGTGAATATGCATGTGACACCTGTTTTACACATTTTTACATAATAGCAGGGAAGGGATGTTCCTTTGTCTACCTGAGGAACTGTATATTTTATGCGCACGCGGCATATACTAGTACCGTACTAGATTTAGGACAAAAATCAAGGTTGACGCATTCGCGATCGCCGACTGAGACGACGTGACGCATGCGCAGTGCCTTAAAATGACGTCACACGTTGCAGTCAAAGCTGTCGACGTGCAAATCTAAAAGTCCCTATTACATCCGATCGACGCACGTTTGTAAAAATCAAATTACACACAGACACACACACGAAAACATGCACCCAAGAACCCACACAGGTTTTGCATGTATGCAAATTATAGGATCTCTTCGTTTAACCTCTCGAAATCTAATGGGCCATACCAATTCCTCGTGTGCTCTTTTTTTGTTGGTACTTCGTACTACTCTTTTTAAGTGTTATGTATATTTGAGCTTGACAAATCAAATATGATGAAACAACATAAAATCCTCAGTTCAGTTCACTTCCTATTTTCAATAGCCCCCACCCTCCCCCGACTTTTAATTTTATGGCTAATTAAGCAACGCTATCTTGCTTTATTGAAGCTTAATATTGAGTCTTCCTTCGACAAGTTTAACGGTAAAATTATCCGAAGATGTTGCGGTGTAGACTGCTCCTTCTACGTCCTTGTCGAAGCCACTTCGAAGATGTGACGCAAATACTGTGAGAGGACCTGACGGGATGGACGGATGCCACATGTTCTGTGACGTCACAATCTGACTCGTCTTTCTGCCATCTTTATCCGTACAGAGGATCGTCAGTGTTCCATTTGTTGCGTTTGTGATGCGAGGAATATCCCCAATTTTCCTTCATTAAAAACAGAAACAACAAATAGAATAACAAACAAAAAAAATACAGTATTCTGGCATCATGGCTAGTATCACCTTCATCATCGCCATCCTTGTCATCCTAATTTATCATCACCACCGAATTCACCATCATCATCTTTATAATCGTCATCATCATCATTATCATCTCAGCCATCATCATCGTCATCATCATAATCATCACTATCACCATCACCACCATCATTATCATCACCACCACCACCATCATCATCACCACCACAACCATCACCATCATCATCATCACCACCACCATCACCACTATCATAATTTTTACCAACATCATCATCATCATCGCTATCACCACCATCATCATCGCAAACATCATCATCATCATCACCAACACAACCACCGTCATCATCACGACCATTACCACCATCATAATCACCATCGCCATCATCATTATCAATACCATGAACATCACCACCATCATCATGGTCATCATTATAACCATCATCACCATCTTCATCATTATCACCATCATCACCACCGTTATCGTCACCACCTTCACTAAAATCATCATTACCAACATCACCATCATTCTGTACATCACCATCATAATTATCTTCATTATTTTCATAATACCTCGACTGATTGCTGTAATCCTGTGTAATATTGACCATTCCTTTCACAAGTTGAACAGTGAAATCATAGCAAGACTCTGCTGCATTCAGGACGGCATCTCCCTGACCAGCTACCGGGACACCTTCGGCGAGGATGAAGACCGAGATGGTTACCTTGCCGTACGGGATCGTCGGCTGCCACGAATCCATTTTCCTTACAATCTGACTTGTTTCTCTGCCGTCTTTGTCCGTGCAAACAATCTTCAGTATTTCATCAGTGTTGTTGTGAATCCGAGGGGAAGAAGATGCATTGCCCATGATCAAGATTGTTGCTATTTCTTGCTAGAACTTGTTCCAACGGTAAAGAGCTGATTTCTAAAAATTAAAGGCAAAATTATAATCGACGGATACCGAAGAGAATCACCGTAAAGGTCGTGTTTACAGCTATTTGGTGTAAACATGGTAAGGCCACGATAGTCGTGTTATATACGCCGACCTTTACGCCTTTGATTTACTACTGGATTTGTCCAGGAGTAACGCGCTAGCACGATTGTTTACATTCGTCAATGGAAATTAGATTTCGCGCGTTTAGTTGCAGAAGCTGGGCTGAGGTCGACTAGTGCGGGCGTCTCGCCACTTCCAGAAGTTACACTGCGTAAGACTGGGTCGGTGGAAGGTCGTGTTAACACAAACGTGCAAGTTTATCCGAGTAAGAGCGTATGGACAACTGATGTGTAAAATCAAATTTGTATGAAATATTTATTGCTGAAACGTTTAAGTTACGCCTACTAGGAAGCCCCTTCTGAATATGGCTACTTTGGGTCATAGAACTTGAGACATTCCTGCATTGGGTAAAGTGTTTGTCTGAAGACTTTGAAATATCATAGGTGTTGGGAACATACGCAAATGTCCTTTTTAATTAGCCTTTCAGACGGGGGCATCCTAATTGGCGTTAGTTTAATCCCTGCAGCAGTAAATGTCTCCAACGTATTTTGATTTACATCATAAGTTGTCCATATCCTCTTACTCGGACCCACTTACCACGATTAAAATACCATTACCTTCCAGTTTAATCCAAAGCGTATCTTCCGAATATCAGGGGCGGATCAAGGATTTTCCGAAATGTATTAAATTGTGAGAGCTAAGTGCTAAGCCTTTGCCCTTTTGGCCCCTGAAAAATTTGAACCTTAGAGTCAAGTTTAAACGCGGGCTTCCTGGTCGGCGCAATCAATCCCGCAGCATTAAATACCTCGTAATTATTTGACTTACACATCAGTTATCCATACCCTCTAGCTTGGACCAACTTGCCAAGATTAACTTAACACGACCTTCCACTGACCCAGTCTTACTCAGCGCAACTGCTATAAGTCAGGGGCTGATACAGGATTTTCTAAAAAAAAAAAAAAAGGGGGGGGGGAATGTACGGATTTAAGGTTGCTGTAGCTGTTACAGCGTGGGGGGGGGGGGTCCGGAGTCCGCTAAAGGGGCCTGGATATTTTGTAACCGTAATATGCCTCATGGAACGTTATGAGGCATTTCTGAAGGTAAAATGATCTGGCCCTAGAAGTGTTGTCGCCCGCACTAGTAGACCTGAACCCACCTTCCGTATCTAAACCGTGCGAAATTTCATTTAAATGTTTGGTTGTAAACAAGCAACCCTCGTGAAAGGTCACATATATTCCGAGAACATACACACAGTAAACCCTCTAGTAGTGTTAGCGCATTACTCCTGTATATATTCAAGATTAAATCGGTCGGTGTAATATACAGGTCAGTGTAGCTAACACGACGTTCGTTAGACGATCACGTGACTACGCCGACATTTACGCAAACCTCACCATATTTACGCCGACTAGCTCTAAGCACGACCTTCATGCCGACCAAAATAGCCATCGTGTGAACACGACTATTAATTTGATTCGTAGATTTGCTCCTCTAGTTGGCCCTTTCACACATAGGGGACGCATGGGGGACTATTGGCCAGCGCTTTTGAAATTTACCTTGATGACACGTGGAGTTGTATGTGGCACGGGGCATGGTATTATAGTCAAGTGATTGTTTAGATGAATGATAAAAATAACTTTTAATTCCAAATTGTTAATCTATTTCAAATTTCACCAGTGGAAATACACTGCCATCCATTAACATTAAAACAAACTTGTACAAAGTAAAATGACTAATTGAGGTCACTGTCTTCTCTTTCTCTCGCTCCGTCTCTCCTTTCTTTTCTTTATCTATACCTCCCTCTATTTCTCCATCTCCTTCACTCCCCAATATTCCACTATCCTTTCTTTTTCACTTTTGCTCTCCCCCTTCCTTCCTCCGATCTTTTCCTATCCCCCTGACTACCCCTTCGTCTCTCTTCCTTCCTCTATCCCTCCTTCCCTCATCCTGCTTTCCTCTCTCCTGCTCTCTCCCCACCTTCCTATCTTCTTCTCCCTTCTTATCTCTTCCTGTCTCTCCGTTCCCTCTCCCTTTATCTCTCCTTCCCCGTCCCCTGCACCTCTCATTCGCTCTCTCTCTCTTTCTCTCTATCTCTTTCTCCCTCCCCCTCTCTCTCTCTTCACTTCCTCCTCTCTCCTTTTCCTCCTCTCTCCAAACCTCTCTTGACGTCTCTCTCTCTCACACCTCTCTCTGGTGAATCGTTCTTATCCTCGTTTACAGGTCTATACTCTGATCAGCATGGCGGCTTACTTAAGTTCTAGAGAAGACAACTGTGAAGGAGAGAACTGCAAGGCATTCACGGATGTGTTATACTACGTGAATGAGAAAAAGAAGCTTTGCGATGACTGCGTCCTAAAAGAAGGATGCATCGGAAAAGCAAGAAAGGGTGGGCCCAAGCTTTATTGTGAGAAGCATGATGAAGAAATCAAACTACTTTGTAAAACACATGGTGAAGCTGTGTGTTATGTATGCGCAATGATAGATCATCCTGAGCAGCCTAGCGTGCGACAGGATATAACGGGCACGATCATGGAAAATAAAGCAAAACTAAACGATTTGAAAGAAAAGGCAAAGGACAAATTAAAGCTTTGTCGAGTTTATGGAGATCAGATTCGTCAGTGCAGGAACGACGCCGACGCCCATCTACAAGCTTTGAAAGATGAAGTAGAGTCGGTAATCGATGAGGCGATCCAAACAGTCAAAGACAGAGAGAAGGAGGATGCTACAAAAATCAACCATGAGATTGATGAGAAGAATCAGAAACTTCACGAGGAGCTTAAGAAGATCAATGAAAAGATTCGAAAGAACGATGAAGAGAGAGAAAAACGACTTGAATTAAACCGTACAAATGCAGTGCAAAGACGAGAACCTATCGACAATAAACAACATGCTCTTCAAACAGACATTAATAGCATCGCTGTAGAGAAAGAAATAAAGATTGGTAAGTTGGAGATATCATGGCAAGATGACACAAAAAACACTGAGACTACAATACAGACAATCGATACATTACTCGAAAACGATGAAAATGTCGTCAAAGACGGGCATCGTGTGATTACATCAGTGAATGACGAACTAAAGAAACCACTGAATGAGGGTGATGGGAAACAAATCACTGGGGCCATATCGGGTGTGAGGTTTGTGAAGGGTGCTATGAGAAAAGAGTATGATGGGAGGATAGATGGTTATAATGGGGAGTGGATGCTCATTGACACAATTGAAGATAAAGAGACATTTACATCGCCAACCATTGTAGGATGCATTGATGAATGCAATGTAATCATCACAAATATAGATGACTGTCATACATGCATGTTCGATATGAACGCTAAAGACAATCAGAGAGTGATAACAGGTAGTAATACATCATTGGTTTCTTCCTGTGCATTGCTGAATGATAGCAAGGTAGTATGCGGTAAATACAGTGATGGATGTGCAGGGGACAGTTTGACAGGATGCATCAGTGTGTATGACAAACAATGGAAGCACATCAATGACGTCACAATACCAAGAAACACAAAGCGTGATGACACAAGGGTGGATGTAGCTGTTGACCAGGTTGGGATGATCATCGCTGCTGAGGGAGGTCAGTCTAAGATATACGTCATCAACCCAGATGATGGTAAGATCATGAATACCATCGCATGTAAACACATAATATTGATGCGCGGTGTACTATCATCAGGTCACATCATCGCTCAACCCTCACCCTTAGATCACAGAGTGTTCATTATCGACAGGCAGGGTGCTCAAAGGGAAATCACCCACAGTGATGCCATCATGAATGCCTGTATCGATCCTTTGACAGACGGCCTCTACATCGTATCATCAGATGAGGAGTATGGTACGTGTGTGATTGATCAGGTGATGAGCGGGGATGACATCGAGAAGAGAAGAGTAGCATCATTCCCTCTATCAATAGAACTGGACTCACTGGAGGATAGGGAGTGTCACCTTCTATCATCTCGGGTGTTGATGACGTCATCAGGGAAACTTTTCGCTTGCGATGGAGACAATATTCTCGTATTCAAAAAAAGATTTATCCTCTAAATCGTATCCCCTTTGAATACAATTTTCCATTTTCACTACCGTAACGTACACACACGTTTAATACGTACAAACACATTGATGTGGCTATCATAACTAGCATCCCGAAAATGACATGTTTATCTCAATATGTGTGTTACAACATAAAGGTCTATCAAGAGACTAATCACTTGGGCAGCAGAAATGCCAAAGCGATGGATCGACGAAACCGCGCACCGGGACGACCAGCTATAGCCACACACCCAGGAATTTCATTGTTAAATTCAATAGCTATCGCACCCGAGAACAGGTCTACAGTGCACGATCCAAGTTAAAGAATCTTAGCGATGAGAATAAACACCATGTCTACATCAATGAAAGCCTCACTAAGAAGCGGAAAGAACTTCTTTGGAAGGTTAGAAACAAATTAAGAAAATTATTGATAAGACATGGACCCAAGTAATTTTCTAACTTCGGAATCAGGAATTTCACAAGGATCAATACTGGGTCATTAATATTTTGCCTCTATGTGAATGGTATTTGTAACCTGCAACTCCAAGACAAAGCTTTTCTCAATGCAGATGACACGGCAGTGTTTCATCATGAAAAGGATCATAAAGTTTGTGAATGCAATCTCCAAAAAATACTTTTACAGTATCTTGAAATGGCTAAAATAAGATAGACCAAACAATACTTGTTGGTTCTAAAAGAAAAAATATAACTAATAATACTTGTATTCATTACAGTAATAATGTACTCGACTCAGTCGAAAGTATGCAAATCTTGGTGTAACACTAGACAAATATCTTATCATGGTCGCTACATGTAAGATAAGTTGTTAAGAAAGTATCGGGTACGATT